GAGCTGAGGACCCATCCTTGGGGCGGCTCCAGTGTTGAGTGTTACTGTGGAGGAGGTGCAGTTACCTATCCTCACTGATTGTGGTCTGTGGGTCAGAAAGCTGAGGATCCAGCTGCAGAGGGTGGGGCTGAGACCAAGATCTCGGAGTGTGGAAATCAGTCTGGAGGGGATAATAGTGTTGAAGGTGAGAGAGAACATGGAGAGAGAACTGGCTGGCAGACAGGAACCAAACGGTACGACGAAATGAGACTAAATGGCAGGCAGTGACGAGTGAGTGACCGCAGGGTTTAGTGCTGGGACCCCATCAATTCACAATATAGATTAATGATTTGGAAGGGGAGTTAAATGTAATATCTCCAAGTGAGGAGGGTGTAGAGGATGAGGCTGTAGACTTGCTCACTGAGCCGGTGTGTTTGATCGCAGATGTTTCATCACTCCGCCCTCCCGGGTACCAGGGTCCGTGATGTCTTGGAACGTGTCTTCAAGGTCCTTAGGGGGGAGGGTGAGCAACCAGCAGTCATGGTACACATCGGTACCAATGACATAGGTAGAAAAAGGAAAGAGAACGTGAGAAACGAGTACAGGGAGTTAGGCTGGAAGCTGAAGTCCAAGACAAACAGGGTGGTTATCTCTGGATTACTACCAGTGCCACGTGATAACAAGGTAAGAAATAGGGAGAGAGTGCAGCTAAACACGTGGCTACAGGGCTGGTGTAGGAGGGAGGGCTTCCATTATGTGGATAATTGGAGCACATTCTGGGGAAGGTGGGACCTGTACAGTAAGTACGGGTTGCACCTGAACCGGAAGGGCACAAATATCCTGGAAGGGAGATTTGCTCGAGCTATACGGGATGGTTTAAACTAGATTGGCAGGGGGTGGGGAACTGGATTTATAATTCAGAGCATGAGGTATTCAGCCTTCCAATGGACACAACAGGGAGTGAGGTTGTTTATAAAGAAATGTGGCCGATGGAGCGTAATTGTGGACACAGATGGTTTGAAGTGTGTATACTTCAATGCTAGAAGTATCAGAAATAAGGTGGATGAACTTAGAGCAAGAGTCAGGACTTGGAACTACAATGTTGTGGCCATTACAGAAACTTGGGTAACTCAGGGAGAGGAATGGTTGTTGGAAGTTCCGGGATTTAGATGCTTTAAAAGAAATAAGGAGGTTGCGAAAAGAGGCGGGGGAGTGGCATTGCTAGTCAGGGTTAGTATAGCAGCTACTGAAAGGCAGTTCGAGAATGATATGTCTACAGAGTCAGTTTGGGTTGAGGCCAGGAACAAGAAAGGAGCAGTCACTTTGTTGGGGGTTTTTTACAGACCCCCTAATAGTTGCAGAGAAGTGGAGGAGCGGATTGGGAGGCAGATACTAGAAAGGTGCAGAAGTCACAGGGTTCAACTTTCTAAATATTGATTGGAAACATTTTAGTTGTAATAGTTTAGATGGAGCAGATTTTGTCCAGTGATTTCAGGAAGGATTCCTGACACAGTATGTAGATAGACCAACACGAGGAGAGGCCACTTTGGATTTGGTGCTTGGCAATGAACCGGGCCAAGTGTTAGACCTGTTGGTAGGAGAGCATTTTGGCGGTAGTGATCATAACCCTGTTACTTTTACAATAGTCATGGAAAAGGATAAGTACTGCAGCAGGGTAAGGTTTATAATTGGGGGAAGGGTAATTGCAATTCTGTTAGGCAAGAACTGGGTAACATAAATTGGGAACAGATGCTGTCAGGGAAGAGCACCAGAGAAATGTGGAGATTGTTTAAGGAATGCATACTGTGTGTGTTCAATATGTTTGTCCCGAGCAGGCAGGGAAGATGCGGTCGAGTGAGGGAGCCTTGGTTCTCTAAAGAGGTCGAACGACTGGTTAAGAGGAAGAAGGAGGCTTATGTAAGGTTCAGGAAACAAGGAACAGAAAAGGCTCTAGAAGGATACGGATTTGCTGGAGACGGTAGTGGAGTCGGCCTCATTAGGGGCATTTAAGCGGCTATTAGATAGGCATATGGATGATAGTATAACGTAGGGGTGGAGGTTAGGTAGACCTTAGGATTAGGGTAAAAGTTCGGCACAACATCGTGGGCCGAAGGGCCTGTACTGTGCTGTACTGTTCTATGTTCTATGTTGTATGATACAAGTTAGCCAGGAAGGAGCTGAAGAAAGGGCTTAGGAGAGCTATAAAGGGGCATGAGAAAACCTTGGCAGATAGGATCAAGGAAATATCCAAGGCTTTTTACATGTACGTGAGGAATAAGAGAATGACCAGAGAAAGGGTAGGGCCGATCAAGGATTGTAAAGGGAAACTTTGCACAGAGCCTAAAGAGATAAGAGGGGTCCTTAATGATTACTTTTCTTCGGTATTCACAACTGAGAGGGACCTGGTTGTAGAGGAGGACTGTGTGAAACAGGCTGGTAGGCTAGAGGAGGTCGATGTTAGTAAGGAAGATATGCTCGGAATTTTCAGGAACTTGAAGATAGATAAGTCCCCCGAGCCTGATAGGATTTATCCAAGGATTCTATGGGAAGTGAGGGAAGAGCTCTCAGGGCCTTTGGCGATGATCTTTTCATCCTCACTGTCCCTGGGTATAGTGCCGGAAGACTGGAGAGAGGCAAGCGTCATTCCCTTGTTTAAAAAAGGGAATGGGGATAACCCCAGAAATTACAGGCCAGTTAGACTTACATCAGTGGTGGGCAAATTATTGGAAAGGGCTCTGAGAGATAGGATTTATGATCACTTGGAAAGGCACAGTTTGATTCGTGATAGTCAGCATCGATTTGAGGGGTAGATCATGCCTCTCAAACCTTATTGAATTCTTTGAAGAGGTGACCAAACATGTGGATGAAGGTAGAGCAGTGGATGTGGTATACATGGATTTAAGTAAGGCGTTTGATAGGGTTCCCCATGGTAGGCTCATGCAGAAGGTAAGGAGGCATGGGATAGGGGGAAATGTGGCAGATTGGATTCAGAATTGGTTGACCCTTAGAAGACAAACGGTGGTAGTGGATGGAAAATATTCAACATGGTGCTCAGTTACGAGTGGTGTACCACAAGGATCTGTTCTGGGTCCTCTTCTATTTGTGATTTTTGTAAATGATTTGGATGAAGGAGTGGAAGGGTGGATTAGTAATTTTGCGGACGACACGAAGGTGGGTCGCGTTGTGGACAGTGCGGAGGAGTGTTCTAGGTTACAAAGGGACATTGATAGGATGCAGAGCTGGGCTGAGAAGTGGCAGATGGAGTTTAACCCTGAAAAGTGTGAGGTGATTCATTTTGGAAGGACAAACTTGAAAGCAGAATACAGGGTTAATGGAAAGATTCTTGGCAGTGTGGAGGAGCAGAGGGATCTTGGGGTTCACGTCCACAGTTCCCTGAAAGCTGCCACCTAGGTGGATAGAGTTGTTGGGAAGGCATATGGTGTGTTAGCTTTCATTAATAGAGGGATTGAGTTCAAGAGCCGTGAAGTTATTATCCAGCTGCACAAAAGCCTGGTTCGGCCACATCTGAAGTATTGTGTCCAGTTCTGGTCGCCTCATTACAGGAAAGATGTGGAAGCGTTGGAAAAGGTGCAGAGGAGATTTACCAGGAGGTTGCCTGGAATGGAGGGAAGGTCTTACGAGGAAAGGTTGAGAGAGCTTGAGCTTTTTTCTTTAGAACGAAGAAGGATGAGAGGTGACTTGATAGAGGTGTACAAAATGATCAGAGGTATAGATAGAGTAGACAGCCAGAGACTTTTTCCTCGAGTGGAGGTAGCTATTACGAGGGGTCATAGTTTTAAAGTGAGTGGAGGTAGATATAGGGGCGATGTCAGAGGTAGGTTCTTTACTCAGAGAGTAGTTGGGACGTGGAATGCATTGCCGGAGGGAGTAGTGGAGTCGGCCTCATTAGGGGCATTTAAGCGCCTATTAGATAGGCATATGGATGATAGTGTAGGGTAGGGGTGGAGGTTAGATAGACCTTAGGGTTAGGGTAAAAGTTCGGCACAACATCGTGGGCCAAAGGGCCTGTACTGTGCTGTACTGCTCTATGTTCTATGTTCTATGTTCTATGTTTAACATTGTCAGTGTGCCTCTGGTGAAGCGTTAGTGTTATGTCCCATTTGTTATTTATATGCCTCGGTTTGCTGGAGTGGTTGGCATCACTTCCGGTTCTATTTTTCAGTGGTTTGTATATTGGGTCCAGTTCAATGTGTTTGTTGATGGAGTTCTGGTTGGAATACCAGGCCTCCAGGGGGCAACTAGGGATGGGCAGTAAATGCTGGGCCAAGCCAGTGACATTCTGATTCAAGTGAATGAAGAAAAATAAAGTCAGGCGCAATTTGTTGGACAGCAGACAGATGTGTGCTGGATGAATGGGGAACTTGTTTGATGTTCGAACCAAGAGGTGTAGGAGGGGCAGGCATGAAGGATGGAAGGGCAGATCTGACAGACATACTCCAAATGGTAACAACCAAGCACCTGAACCAGATTTCCCTTACTAAATGTTCCACCTTCCTTGATTTTGTCTACCAACCTCTTGGGGAAATCAATTCCCCTCTTCAAGCCATTTCCTGACCCCAGACACCCTGTGGGGAGTGGGGAGTGGAGGGGGGCACAGGGTGGAGGGGGACATCAAAGGCTGAGGTTCCCAGAGACATGGTCCTGGCCTTTTGTGAGGAGGTTGTTTTGAAGCTCAGCGCACTATCAAACGGGAGGCAGTGTTGTTCATCCCCACACCACTCACCCCTCCCCAGGCCCCACCCTGAGCTGTCAGCCCCACAGCACTTCCCCTTTCCAACTGAACATTCCTGCTTTCCCATCCTGTCTAACGGCCATCCATATGTTGCACATTTCCCCAGTTCTTTCTTTCAGAGGGTATTGCTTCAATGACTATTACCTAAGACTGACCAATCAGATCAGACCATTAGCTAATAGACAGCCACCATGAGCATCATGTGACAGTTGGCACACTGCCCCCTCCCCCAGCCGCTCCGATATAAATCTCTGAGCAAACCCACGATTCACAACCACCGTGAAAACCATCACAAGGTGAGAGCCTGTTCCTGATCGCTCTTCCTGCAGACTGAGTGTTGGCTGGCACTGGGCACTGGGCACTGGGCACTGGGCAGTGGGCGCTGGGCACTGGGGATTGGGGATTATTCTGAGATAGGGTCAATTGACCTAAAACGTTAACTCTGATTTCTCTCCACAGATGGTGCAGACATGCTGAACTTTTCCAGCAATTTCTGTTTTTGTCTCTGATTTACAGCATCTGCAGTTCTTTTGGTTTTTATTGGGTATTGGGTATTGGGGATTGGGAATGAGGATTTTTCTTTTTTATTTATTTTGTGGGATGTGGGCATTGCTGGCCAGAATTTATTGCCCATCCCTAGTTGCCCCTTGAGAAGGTGGTGGTGAGCTGCCTTCTTGAACTGCTGCAGTCCTCCTGCTGTGGGTTGACCCACAAAGCCCTGAGGGACGGAATTCCAGGATTTTGACCCAGTGACAGTGAAGGAACGGCGATATATTTCCAAGTCAGGATGGTGAGTGGCTTGGAGGTGAACTGGCAGGGGGTGGCGTTCCCATGTATCTGCTGCCCTTGTCCTTCGAGATGGAAGTGGTTGTGGGTTTGGAAGGTGCTGTCTGAGGATCTTTGGTGAATTTCTGCAGTGTATGTTGTAGGTAGTACACACTGCTGCTACTGAGCGTCGGTGGTGGAGGGAGTGGATATTTGTGGATGTGGTGCCAATCAAGCGGCTGCTTTGTCCTGGATGGTGTCAAACTTCTTGAGTGTTGTTGGGGCTACACCCATCCAGGCAAATGGGGAGTATTCCATCACACTCCTGACTTGTGCCTTGTAGATGGTGGACAGGTTTCGGGGAGTCAGGAGGTGAGTTACTTGCTGCAGTATTCCCAGCTTCTGACCTGCTCTTGTAGCCACTGTGTTAATATGGTGAGTCCAGTTGCATTTCTGATCAGCAATAACACCCAGAATGTTGATTGGGGATTGGGAATTAAGGATTAGGGATTAGGGATTGGGATTTGAAAGTGGGGACTGGTGATTAGGGAATCGAATTTGGGATTTAGGAGTGGGGACTGGATGTGTTCTCAGACTGTCCGAAACCTTTTGTCCTTCATGGAGCATCTTAATGCGGAACCATGTTCACCCAACGAGATCCAGTGCAATGTACAAACGAGAGAAATCTGAGCTTTACTCTGTATCTAACCCC